AATTTGGTAAGGATTTTGAGAGGGAAATAATGCAAGAATGTCTTCTATACCTTCACGGATAGCCATAAATAAAATACAAAAGAAAATAAAGAATAAGGCAACAAGAGCAGTCTGGGTAAGCCAAGGAGAAGAGTGCCACCAATGACGGAAATGAGAAATCATAGAACAAGAATGACTTTTGAGATAGATAATAGCAATTTCTGAATTTTGACTGTCATTAGCAGTTTCTAAACTTCTGAATTCGAAAGCTTTGTTAATGTCATCAACTTGATTAACTTTTGTTCCATCAATTTCGACTATGCGGATGGAAATTTTGAGACGAAGAAGAGATCCACCCTTCTCCTCGGTATATGAAGACTCAGCAACAGTGTTAACTTCGACTGTAATGAGGCCACTATTAAAGTTGTTTTCGTATTTAAAAATATCTTTATTTTCCGGAATAACTTTTGCTTTAATTACCTACACAAATAATGATGAAATTTAATATGATGAATTTAAATGTTTATTAAATTAATTAATACATACTTGGATGGAATTAACCCCTAATGGGACAGGCACATTGTTCACAAACAATTGTTCGTCACGTAAGTCAATGTTTATAATGTTTATGACAACAGCAGAAATTCTCTCCGCGAGCACGTCACCAAAATCATTCACAAGATTATCGACATGTTGAACAGCAACCGCAAAACTTTCGGTTGAAGGGAAGGTACGTATTTTTGATATGCCAACTGAGGTAGACGATATGTCCTTTACCGGTATAGCATATGATAAAGCTACATTTGATGTAATCATACAATTTTCAATAACGTCCGATATTTATTATATGGTTTAATTTAATCATTAAATAATGCAAAAATATTGCATAACACATGAATAAATGCTATTTAAATAGAAATTTTTTATGCTGAATGAAAGTTTACATTTTTTATTGAAAAATTTATAACTTTTAAACCGGAAGAAATAAATTTAAAATAGCAAAAATTTACTATTAATACAAACATAAACTTTCATGCAGCATAACATTGTATATTTTTATAGCATTTACTCATGTGATGCAATACTTTTGAGGACGAATTTAAATCATCCTACTAATAAACCTACCGAATAAACAAGTAATTAAGCAAACAAGCGTTAAAGAGGTAAATTTCATCATATTCATCATATTCAGTAGAGTCGTATAATTAAAAAGAACGTTTTTTAAGTGATGATATTTGTTGAATGCAGGGAGAGAATAGTGATGGAAAAGAAAACTTCGCAGAAGTTTAAATATTTCCCTTAAAAATAAGTAACTGTATGACTAGTAAAAATGCGAACGATTTAAATATGTATCAATGTGCCACAAAATAAAATCCATCGATCAAATAACTATAATCGGTAAACGTACAAAACTGTTAACAGTTAATGTCATGACTAAAAATCATATGCAACTTCAGGACTAAAATCCGATCTTCTTGCATTAAGAAGTAATTTTAGGTAAGTGCTACCGCTACTTTAGGAATTCCGGGTAGTTAGACTTCAATATCATGTACAACGCAAAATAACACATAATTTAAGTTCCGTCTATGAAACTGCCTGCGTACTAACAAAGTTTTTCACGTGGAATTTGTCCTTTAATCCGAACCTTATAACAAACCCTTAATTCTAACTTGAAAGTACGTGCAAAATGTTTTTAGGGTTGTAACCTTAATTCTAACTTGCAAGTGTGTGCGAAATTTTTTAAAATACCCGAGGTGGTAACAACTTCGGTGAATTAGTATGAGCGGTGAATTTGGTAAATTGATGAATTAGGTGAAACGGTGAAATGAGTTATGCACAGGAAAAGCCTGTAAGTACGAATTTAAACTTAATTTGATAACCAGTATTGTCAAATTTTTTGAGTTTAGTGAAAATTTAACGTACGTACGTACGTACGTACATGTTTCCCTGTGCATCACTCAAATGATGAAACTTTGAGATGTACTCTTTAAAGGTTTAGATTCTTTATTCAAGTTTTTATGTCTAACTACATATATTTTTGAATCCAGATCAAAATGTTATTACGTCATATATAAAAATTGGACTAGTTCAAAAATAATTAGCCAAATAGTTTATTTCACTTCGCTTTATTTCATTCTGCAATAAAGTTTAAAAAAAAATTACGTAATACCTTAACTTTTACGGATAAGTTTTGAAGCTATTTTGATGACTTAATAGTCAAAAGAAAGCCTACGTTCTAAGCTTTCTTTTGGCTATTAAATCATTCAAAATTCGTCGAGATATGGGCTATAAAAGTTAAGGTATTAATTTTTTTAATACAGGTAATATCAATCTGCCTGATTTCTGTTTGACCCTTGTGAACGAAGTTACAAAGTAGAACATTACTAAGTAAATATTAAGTTCTTGTATTTGACTTTTCTACTCAGAAGTGTCCAGCTTCATAAAGAACAAGTTACAAATCACAATCTTTCATTTGATCATTAGTAAATATGTAAAGACTTTTACTAAAAATCACATATGGTGTTTTACACCTATGAATGAATTATCTCAAAAACTAATTAATCGGTGCAGAGTGTTCTAAGTAAAATGTTCTACACCCCAAAAACCTTTCCTAACCCTTAATTCTA